ACACACACACACACACACACACACACACACACACACACCTACACACACACAGTTTTATGAAACATACATTGCCTTAGAAGGATGTTCAGAATTTTTGCTGAAGATCAAATCTGGGCCTGGATGAGACAGTCCTTCATTCTCCATGCAGTCAGTCTACATATCAGCTTAGAGATAAATCTTAAAGTGGTCCAATCTGGCTTTCTAATTTGGAAGCGGGAAAAGCAATACTCTTCTGCAGGCTGAGTCCAATCCTCATAGCAAATTGATGGCAGAATGCTGATAATTACTGTCTCAAACATCTGATGAGTTCCAGATTAGGGAAAGTGGTTATACTCACCCATCCTTAAAATCAATTGCCAGCTCCTCTGAAAAGAAATCAAATTTGATAACCACATACAGTATGTAGCTCTATTGCTAATTTATAGAAACAAAATACGTCTTTAAAATGGTCTTGGTGCACTGATTTGTGTGTGTATGTGTATATATGTTACAGGAGTTCTTTGGTTGTCCATTGCCGCAGAGATCCTCTATATTATTTTACTCCTGATGGGCATCACTCTCATGTTGATTGAAATCTGTCGTTCCATCAGCGTCCTGGATGGGCTGAAGCTTAATGCATTTGCTGCTATATTCACCGTTTTAGCAGGTAACAGTTTGGTATTGCTTCTGCTAAGAGTTAAAGTAAGCCAAAGGAAGAAATGGTCAATAGAAAGAAATTATTTTTTTTTATACCAGGCATAGAAAGATCAGTTCTTAAGGATGGGAAGAGTTATCTTCTTCTAAGATAAGTAGCTGCTGATACTCAAAGTCTCCATATTAAAGGATGTTTTTGTGTGAGGAAAAACCCATTTCAACAAAGGAACAAACAATTTCTGGGAAGTGATGGCTGCAGTGACAGTGAAGGAACGGACAGAAAGTCCAAAAAAGATGGAGCACCTGCTTTGAATGGTTCCTAATTCATCTCCAGTTAGTACAATTCCTCACACACCAAAGGCATTGAGGTGGATGAATTAGTTCTCTACTTGTCATCTTCTGCTTATTTATCTCACCGTAATTTAGCTCTCTTCAAATATGTCTTCCACCCACCCCTTGGGAAATTCACTCAGTACTTTACATGCCCTAGAATCAATTCATCAAGGAGTAATTTGTTGAAACTATGATTGACTCTTACAGGTCTCCTTGGAATGGTGGCTCACATGATGTATACAACCGTATTTCAAATGACAGTAAATTTTGGTCCGGAAGACTGGAGGCCTCAGATGTGGGATTACGGCTGGTCTTACTGGTAAGTTTTGAAGCAAAACGTATCACAAAAACTTGTGCATGAGTCAAACATTCTGAGGGAGCCATTAACATTAAAGCTATCTTTTTTAAAATTTCTTATCTCAATGACAAAGTACTGTAGCCATGTCTGAGAATAGAATCATAGGAACTTGCAGGCTCACTTCTGAAGTTATCACACAAGTGCTTAATATTGATGGTGACATCTTAACAGCAACGGGTTGTGCGTGAAGTTCAAAGATGAAAAATATCTTGCCTTTCTCTGAGTACAGAGAGCTCAGTATTAAGCTATCTTTTTCCTATCACCGAGGTTTCGCAGAAGAATGATTCCTTTCTATACGTATATTGACCCCAGGAATTTCATCAAGTTGCCCAAAAGAAATACAGTTGTGGAGTAGCTGAAGGAGATGAGAAAATGAATCTCCCATCTGCATAAGCTTTCTTAGTTTAGCAGCCAAGCCAATTAGAGATCTGCTGGAAGGGATATACTTTACAAATATATTCAGGACCTATAAAAAGGTGTTAGCTGCTCAGTAACCATTCTCCCCCTGCCCTATATACTAGTAAAAAAATTGTTTGTGAAGCCGTTTTAGTGTTAGGATTGGGATCCTCCCAAGGATTGTCAAAAGAAAGATGACCTTCAACCAGCCTAAATTGCATTCGGTGGCATTGCTACTGATTGGTGGTTGAAATATCATCAAATCATCTCATTTGGTGCATCATTTTTCATTAGTTGGGAGTCCTGTGGTGAATTAAAAAGAAATGCTAACCGAATGACAAAAAATGTCACTGATGAAGCCTAGTGGCATGTCTACTTTTTCACTCGTGCCATGAACATGTGGAGCATATTTGCCTCTTCCCTAGAAATGTTCATGGGTGCTCATTCAGCCTGACTTTAGAAGCAATAAAGGCACAAATGTGAAATCCCAGTGAGTTTAATTGCAAAACAAGTCCAACAGGATGTTCTTACATGATGGAGAAACGTTTTAAAAGATAGGTTGTTAGAAATAAGTATAAATTCTTGGGACTGTATAAAAGATCTGTTCAGTCTGGGGGTGGACTTGTGAATGACTGTGTCCTGCCATTCCCCCCCACCCCTTTTTCCCCCCTCAAATTGACAGCTTGGCGTGGGTTTCCTTTGCCTGCTGCATGGCTTCCTCTGTGACCACAATGAACAGATACACAAAAACTATTTTGGAATTTAAATATAAACAGAAAAAACTGGAGAGAAGTCTACAAGCTAAATCCAATCCTCCTGTTCCAGAAAAGGCTTGGAAGATGTACGTTGACACCCTCCAGAGAACAACCGAGGACTTCATGCATCCCTTAACAGACATTCACAACCCATCCAGTCCTATGGAATTTGCAGAGTTAAATAATATTCCTCTGGCACATTGTGAAGAATATTGTTAAGAATATTCTTAACCAGGATTGTTGATTTTGTTTTGTATTATGGAAACTACCAATGTGTGTCTGTAGCAATTTCCTTTTGTATATTAAGAATTTATCTTCTAGTAGAAAGCCATGGTGATGGCCTACAAAGGAAACACTTTTAACACGTCTAATTTGGGGGGTTCTCTTTTGCTTTGACAGCACTAGTTAGGTAGGGAGAGAGACTGATAGCATAATCCCATACAGATATCCTCAGAGGAAAATTCCACTGATTCCAGTGGGACTTACAATTCATTTGTACAACCAGGTTGCTCCAGCATGAGAATGTATCAACAACCATTTCTTGAGATCTGCTAATAGCAGCCCAATTGACAGCATCCTCTATCCATACCAGCCCATCAGATAGGTAACTTCTGCCTATCTTCCCTGCTGTGCATCAAAAGCAGTGGTTTCCAACTTGTGCTATCAGCTTAATCTGTTGACTTCATTTCATTGTTGACACATGGTTCGACTTCTGTTGGCTACTACATACCATTACAGGAACCCTTCTTTTCACCTGCTCATTGCTACTGCCTTTCATGACTATTTGTGCCAAGTTACCAATCCACTTCTGAAGGGACCTCAACCAGAGAACTGGGGAGGTTTTTGCAGACTGACTCTGCCCACAACCATCAATTCTGACTGGTTAGTAAAATGGGAACCCAGATTGTTTGGAGCAACATCCTGACATTTGTAAACCACTCAGAGAGCATTGTAAACCACCGGGGAGCTGTATATAAATCTAAGTGCTGTTGCTACTGCTTTCTCTCTTTCTCTTTCTTTCTCTTTCTTTCTTTCTTTTTCCTTTCTTTCTTTCCTTTCTTGTCTTTTCTTTTTTCCCAGATATAACAATGAAAAGGCAAATCTTTCTTTTTTTAATCTTTCTTTTTTAACCAGATTATATTGATAGAACTGTTCCAGCAATTTCATTTCCTAGCCTAGTCATTTGGAAAAAGTAGTAAAACAGTATTTTCAATTGTTTAAATTTCTTACTGGTCCACTGATGGACATACCAGAATGGAAATGTCTCCATTGAAAACTAATGTTCTACAGATCTGCCTGCTGGAAAAAAAAGAGGCTAATGCTTGATTTCTTGACATGGGCCAGACAGATGAGAAGCAGGAGGGGGCTCATAGTAAGCATGGTCTATATCAGGCATCATTGTGACCAAAGTGGAGGAAACCAGCTTTATTTTTTAAATCCCACCTTTATTATATTTATAAATAATTCAGTATGGTGAGCATATCTAATACTCCCTCCTCCTCCTACTTACCTTACAACAGCAATCCTGTGAGATAAATTGAGCAGAGAGAGAGAGTGGCTGGAAGAAAGTCATGCAGTTGGCTTTCATTCCTAAAGTGGGCTTGAACTGAGACTCTTCTGGTTTTTAGCCTGGTGCCTTAACCAATAGACCAAACTGGCTGTTAGACAGTTTATGCATATGAGTCAGGCAGTTTAAGATTATAATGCAGAAAAATCCTTGTTTTTCTTTAGTGGGTCTAGCACATTTACAGTTAATTCCTCTCTGCACCATGGCATTATATCTTGACCAAGTAATGGCATTATATTGAAAACTTACAACTGGTATATTTGATGTGTATACCAATGGTAGGATTAAAAAAAAATTACTACTGGTTCTCTGGGTGTGACTTGGTGGGCATGGCAGGGGAAGGTTACTGCAAAATCCCCATTTCCTCCCAATCAGCTGGGACTCGGGAGGCAGAGAATAGATGGGGGCGGGGCCAGTCAGAGGTGGTATTTACCGGTTCTCCGAACTACTCAAAATTTCCGCTACCGGTTCTCCAGAACTGGTCAGAAGCTGCTGAATACCACCTCTGATGTATACCAGTAGTTAATAATATTGAGAAAATGCTAAATATTTCAAAAAGGATAGAAGAGAAAAAGTTCTTCTATGATTATTCATACATTTTGATGAAGCTAAATACAGAGCAAATAAAAGTTTTGTGTTTTGTTTTGTTTTGTTTTGATCTGTCCTTTTCCCCTTAAAACATCTTTAGAGATTTCAGCTCTGGGTAACTTCAGTAGACCTTTGTTATCAGAAGTGAAGTTTTATAATTCAGAATGGAGTTTCACTTCCAAAACCACCACACACTTTTAATAATGCCCAGAGAGGCACCGACAAAAGTTCCCTTCTAGCAAGTAATTAAGAAAACTTTCATATTTTAACTTTCAGTGCCAAGGGATCCTTTCAGCAGGTAATTATTATCTGGCAAGCAAATCTCACCAACTGGGTTTTATACTTTTGGCTGTAGACAAAGGTGAAATAAACAAACGAAGTAATTATGAAGTATAATATTTAACAGCTCAATCTTGATGCCTTTCTTGGCCTTAGATTAAAAGTTCTATAATTTTTGCTGTGAGTGACAGCTAAAGCAGCCTGTATTATTTGAATAGGAGGACAAAATCCTTAAATCATCAAACTTTACCAAAAATGACCAAAGTCGTCTTAGCATAAGATAAAACCAGTTACAACTCATCCTGAGCCAAGTTGCAGGACCCTTCCGTTATCAGGGTACAATTCAGAGAAAACAGTGTTTTGACTATAAAGGAAGAGAAAAATCCTGTGCCCAGGTTACTTATCCTTGGGTTTTGGAGAAGAGGTGGACACAATAAAGGAGAATATTTGTAACTCAAGGTTAAAATAAGGAGTCCTCGATGCTCTCTGATTTCAGTTGTTTTCTTGCAAACTTTTCATTAGCCAAACTAGGTAACATCATGAGTACTAGCTTCAGGAAAGAACCTCTAACAGATTTCAGAACACAGTAAAGAAAAGGTCATGGTTCGAATGCTACCTATGGGTACCATTTTCCCATCTTCACATTAGATGGGGTAAAAGACCTCTATTGTATTTTACTGCTAGATACCTCAGATGCCACACTCAGATGCAGTTTCTCAGCCTGGGTCAACAAATGATGTATAGAATGTCAAAGAAACCATTGATTCGCAAGATGCAATAAAAGAGTTTTATACATTACTCTTAAAAGCCTATTTCTGATATACTGAAATGCATTAAAAATTCCTACAAAGCAACTTGTATAATTAGACAGTGTTCTAACATCTAGATGTTGGCCCAAATGTAGTTTAGAGGAAATATTGTATGTCCCCAGATTTATGAGACAAGTGTAGCAAACTGGCAAACAGATATAATCTGAATTATTGCTTTAAATAGCAATAGCAGTTAGACTTATATACCGCTTCATAGGGCTTTCAGCCCTCTCTAAGCAGTTTACAGA